ACAAAAGGTCAAGAATATTGGTCCCGAACCGAACCGAGTCTACCAGACTATCTAGTGTGAAAACGACCTAAGATCAGAGCTGCACAATGTTCAAAATATCATCGTTAGGACAAAGAGGACCAGACAGTTTTAGAACCAAACATTTACAGCAGCTCTGCTCGCATGTCAGTAAAGGCAGAAAATACTAAATCATTTCATATTAAAACAAACCAAACCAGAAAGATCTAATTGTTTCTGTTCACTTGTCAAGATTTGAGCAATGTGTGAATAAAATGGATGTTACAGAACCAATACTTGAACGACAAGAAACAGTCGGTCTGCTGCTCCAATAGTTTAATCAATTAACTCTTTTAACTTCCAGCCTCACAGTGTGTCACCTGGCACCTCCTCCTCATGCTGCTCACCAGCTTGGACGAACATGGCTGTGGGATGGCATCCCAGTCTTTAACCAGTGTTTGTCCCACGTTAGCCAATATGTATGATGGCCCTGAGGTGTAAGTGAACAACATTTGAACAAACAGAATTACATTTGAAAAGAAAAAAAAAAGGAATTACATTAAGCCAAAGCGGAAGAGGCCAAAGCGGAAGTGGCCGGAATCACATTTGAAAAAAATTAAATTATATTTGTAAAAATGGAATCACATTAGAAAAAAGGCAATTACATTGGAAAAAAACAGGATTACATTGGAAAAAAGCAAAACAAACAAACAAAAAAAAACGGAATTACATAAAAATAAATGGAAATTATATACAAAGTAATTTTTGAATGATTCCATTGGCCACTTCCGCTTTGGCCACTTCCACTTTGGCTTAAAGTAATAAAAAATGTTCAAATGTTGTTGTGTTTTTTTTTTTTTTTCAAATGTAATTTTGTTTTTTCAAATGTTGTTCATTTACACCTCAGTGCCACCATAAATATGAGTTTGCTGATCAGTTTGGAACGAACGGCACACTCAAGCTGATCCCACAGGTGTTCTATAAGGTTCAGGTCAGGACTGCAGGCAGGCTCCTCTTCCCTCCAACATTCTAGAGGCAGTCACTGATAAACCCCACTCAGTGGGGGTGAGCGTTTTCATCATGGAGGATAGCATTCTGTTCCAGTCTGTAGGGATATGAGATTGTTACTGGTAGTTTACAGGAGCTGACAATCAGATGTCAATCAGACACCTGGGGTACCAGAAGCTCAAAAGAAGAGTTCGTAGTAGAAAAGGCAGTTTGGGTTGCAAAGCATTGTAAGATGAACGATCAAAAATACAAAAAGAGACTCTTGGAGGGGTGTTTTGTAGCTTAGTGGGAAGAGAAACAGAAATTAGTAGTTTGGTTCATGATAAAAATAATGAATGGGAAAATTCAGTTCAGTTCAGTTCATTTCTAAAGGTCCAAGTCACAACAGAAGTCATCTTAGGGCACTGAACAGAAACATTAACATACATAAAAAAAGCCAATTAGTAAAAGTTATCTATCTAAGAAAGCAGCAGATTGCATTAAATCTTCACTTTGTTGCAGTCGTCCATCCTGAGTAAGCACAAAGGCAACAGTGGAAAGGAAAAACTCCCTTTTCACCGGAAGAAACCTCCAGAAGAACCAAGGTCAGGACGAAGGTCATCTGCTTCGACCGGCTGGGTTTGGGAGGACAGGAAGGAGAAACAAACGAACACAGAACGGAAGGTCCAGATGTGGGTCCAGGTGTACTTTCTATTGGAAGAAAGACAAATACACATGTTAAGGATAGAAATAATTACAAATACAAAACAGGTAGAGTAGAGCAATTAAATACAGCAGCAGTGGGAGGAAATGTGGTCAGTTTGTCCTCCAGCAGTCTAAGCCTATAGCAACATAACTAAGGGACAGCTCAGGAAACTAAGATGACCCTAACTATAGGATTTATCAAAAAGGAAAGTCTTAAAACTGGACGATGTGTCAGCCTCACGGACAGAAACTGAAGTTGGTTCCATAAGAGAGGAGCCTGATAATTGAAAGATCTGCCTCCCATTCTACTTTGGGAAACTCTAGGAACCACAAGTAAACCTGCAGACTGAGAGTGAAGGGCTCTGTTAGGAAATTATGGAACAATAAGATATGTTGGAAAACTAAAATAAAAGTAAGGTTTGATCCAATTGAATTATTGCAGAAATCTCAAACTTCTTTACTCAGGATCTGAGAACAGGAAGTGTGACGAACAGTTGAATTGATAGCAAGAGGAGGTTCGTGGAACAGCAGCTTAAAGATTTGGTTCTGTCCACTTTAGTGGGATCTGAGATCATAATATAAAATTATTCCATGTTTTGAAAGGAGAAAAGAAGTTTCAAATGTATGATTAAGGATGATATGGAATATAGACGTTCTAACTCATGTTTTTACCTCTTTAGAGAGGGTCCAAGCTTTAACTGGGACAAAAACACCCTTTTATCCATCATAATTAAAATCGTGATCTTACTCCTACTCTGAATGTGAAGCACAAAAAATGGTCAGGAGCCCCTTTTCACAGTTCATGGAATTTACTGTACATATTCAGATGCTAATGAAGTTGATACTCAGACATCTGCCTATAATTACATGAGGGACAACCATTTTAATTATGTATTTGCCCAATAGAAGCCTCCACAAGGGGGCTAATGTAAATGTTTCGAATTAATTATTGATGGCCTAGAATTATCCACAGTCTTCTGCAGCATCATCAGTGAAAAGTAGTTTATTTTCAGAAGCTTGAAAAAAGTGAAACTCATTGAAAAGCCTAATGATGCTGTGACATACTGATGAGCTGCACTCATCTTTAGGTACCAAACTTGCATGTTTGACAACCAGCGGAGTACCATCAGGGCCTTTGAGGTATTCAGAAAAGACCCCGAGTGGACACAAGTGAAACAAGTTAAATAGATCTATCTCAGTCATATTTGTGAAGCAAAACAAAATGTCTATGTGTTGCTTGTTTATGATTTTTATTGCTTTATTGAACATGGGAAATGGACATTAGGACAATGTACAGTAAATGTTCCAAAAATAGTGAAATTGGTATTTTTTATTTTGTCCTTTAGCATGGGGATCAAGTCTACTTAAAATAAAATACTAATTGCTAGCTAGTATCAAAATAATCAAAAGTATTCAGACCCTAAAACAATAATTCTCAATCTTGTACCCTGATGAAATACTGGCTATTGTGAATTAAGACATCTATTCCTTAACTGCTCCCTGCCTGCTGCTACTATTGAGCATACCTCATATTTGATGGGTTAAATGCAAAGCACACATTTTGACATTGTATGTGGACATACAACAATGGCAAAACATAGCATTTTCAAAATATGTTCGACCAAGCGGACAGCAAGTCGTACATCCACATTTTCTGCAGAGAACCTTAGAAAAAAACCATACAGTATATACATGTCTTGCAAAACTGAACTAGGCAATGCATATTATTTTACTGCCAACCTCTGTTCAACGACAAGACCTCAAAAGTGCAGGACAGTGTTGACCCTTAAGAAACTATTGTCTGCATCACAAAGGCAATCATGTGCTGATATTGGTTATGTTGACACACTTGGAGTCAGTAAGGTTAGAGGTCATAGTTTTCAAAAGTTTGAGTTGAAGATGTCCACACAAAACCCAATGGTGGCATTTCAAAATGTCACTCTGGAACCTGTTTCCTAAAAATACCATTAAGGGGCTTCCACAATGCCATTTCCTTGTGGATGCAAGGCTAGAACAATAAAAACACTTTTAAGTATGGGTACTATACTAGTTGTTTTTTGGGGGGTTTTTTTTCCCCCAAATCAAGTACAAGTACTAGTTACTTCAGATTGGGTACTTGGCCATACTGAGTATGATACTGCATAATTATTGAGTTAGTATTTAAACTTTACACGGTGGCTTTAGAAACACCTTTATTTTATTAAGATCACAGCAAATCGTCTCCTCTCCTAAAATTCCCCATGTTTATCCTAAAATATCTCCAAATTATGGACTTTTTTTGGGTCCTTGATTACTTGCAAAGTGGAAGAGGACAAAACATCACCAAGCATAAGAATGGAAGTATTGGGGTGTTTCTATCAGTACAAGTATGCGTACTTGAGGCTGATATCAGGACCAATACTAGTATCAGTTTCACCACACCACTACTTGAAGTATTAACTGCTCCCAAGTGCACAGAGTCTTTGGTTGCTCATAGGTAGATTGTATTTGATCAATTCTGTCACTTCGGAAGGTTATAGTTGGGGCCTCATAGCAAATATATGTTCATGTATTTTTTTTTGGTCATACTTTTTTGACAATTATTAAAAATATTTTTTCCATTCACGTGAAGTACTAACTGAAGATGTATTCCAAGTTTTAGGGTAACATGATTTTTATCATCCCATATGTTCCAAAAATTCTCTTTATGAGCAGATTAGCATTTTGCTCATAAACATATATATATATATATATATATAAAAAAGTATTATAAACAAAACTCGATCTGTTCTAGTATTTGAACCTGAGAGTTTAAACAAAATCTCTTCTGTAAAAAAACCCACGCAGTTTATTGATTATTAGTGTATTCTTAAATCCAGACTTTATTCATTTGGTTTCCTGTTTTCTCTGCATGCAGATCAGCTATCAGAGTATCGAGTCTTCGGACCCGGGCATTAATGTGCCTGGCCCTCGTCGTACCGTGTCCAAACTGAGGAATGAAACCTATCACATGTTCTCGGGCCTGCATCCTGGAACCACCTACCTGGTGTCAGTCCGTGGCCGCACCGCCAAAGGCTTCGGTCAGACAGCCCTCACTGAGATCACCACCAACATCTCAGGTGAGGCGTAGTGCTGACTGCTGTGTGTGTGTGTGTGTTTGAGCAAAGGGAGGGCGATGTCATCGTCTGTCCCTAACAGACAAATGGAGCTGTTGGATATTTGATCATCCTTAGTTTTTTTGTTTTTTTTTCTCTGACTGTTACAACAAAGAAATAGTGTGAACTTGTCCCGTTTTCAGAAGATTAGATTGAAATACTTGTATACTTTTAAATTATACAAATTAATTTTCTTCACGCTCAGTCAAACAGCTTTCAGATACGCAGCGGCTTCATTTGCAGAGAACAAATTACAGCTAACTACAAATGTTCAGCATGAACGGTTTGGGTGAAAACAGCTTTGTTCACATCACCACAGTGTGTATACTCCGTTCAAAGGCAGCCCGACATTAAAAAAATAAAAAATAAATCAGTGTCTGAGTGCAGAGATTACAGGTGCGGATCCTAAATGTGGAGTAAAAAGGTGGCAAGAAAATAAAACACTCCCTTCTTGATGGGCGCTGATCATCAAAGTCAACATTGTGAGAGGCAGGAGCCAAATGGACAGTTCTCTTGTCCATCACAGGACTGAGACACGTCCAGCCTGCAGAACATTTCAGTTTTTATATGTGAGGCGCTTCATCTTTCTATCACCAGCTCCTGAAAGTGAAGCAGTGATAAAATGTTTTGCATGCTCATTTTCAAAATGTCTCATGAACCACTGGACAGATTTTAACGACACTCTCAGAAACTGATCACTCAACGGACGTCTACATCTCATGACCTTTTAGAATCACTCCAATTCAAGATGGCCACCACAACTAATCTACTGTGGCCAACACAAATGCAGCTATTGTTCAGTCAGTGTATAAATGTTTTGCTAAATTTTAGCCTGTTTCTTTCAGGATCTGTGTTTTGTTGATTAGTATTCTTGTGGCTCGTATTAATTTTTTCTGTGAGTTTGCTTTAGTTTGTTTCCCCTTCCTTACGTCAGCCACTGTCTCTCCCACTCTCACCTGTCCCTCGTTATCTCTCCCCCAGGTGTCATTTCAGTTGTTAGTCTCTTTAAAGACTGTGACGTTTTGAGTGTCCTTTGTTTGTGGATTGTGCTTCCCACGGCTATTCATGCTTTGTTCCTGCGTCCATCCATCCATTATCTTTTACCCGCTTCTTCCTTTTTGGGTTGCGGGGTCACTGGTGTCCATGTCCAGCTATCACTGTGCAAGAGGCAGGGGACACCCTGGACAGGTCTCCAGTCCATCACAGGGACACATAGAGACAAACGAGACAAACAACCATTCACTCTCTCACTCACACCTAGAGACGATTTAGAGTTACCAATCAGCCTAACATGCATGTTTTTGGTCTGTGGGAGGAAACTGGATTACCCGTAGAAAACCTACGCATGCACGGAGAGAACATGCAAACTCCACCCAGAAAGGACCCCTGGCCGGGCTTTGGACCAGGGCAACCTGCTCGCTGAGAGTTGGAAGCTCTACCAACTGCGCATCGTGCTGCTGTTCCTCCGTGTCTTCTCAAATTTATTATTAATCTAAGTTTTTCTGCCACGTCAGCCTTTGCTTGTTAACCAACACCAACCCGCCCGTGGGCCATTGTGACGTCTTTCTGCTACACCCACACGCTTTTGCATACAGAACTGACCAGTCAGCTCTGACAGCTGTTCTGATGCTACAAATGTATAGCCAATCAAATTCCCATCACGTGGATATGCAATGTTTGCAGGCAAAATCTAAAATGGAAGCTTTTGGAATTATTTTTTAACCTGAGCCAGCGTACATGCCTCTTTTTTTTATTGGAAAAAAAATGTTTTGTTTTGTTGTGTATTTTCAACAACAAAATGGCAAAGCATACTGTAAAGAGAAAACAGCTCTTATGGGGTGGCAGCATGGTGTTAGAGAAGGAAGAGTGACTTCTGATGAGAACATGGATAGAAAAGGTGAACAGTGAAGCACTGCTGAGAGCGCCTCAGACAGGATGGATTATACCATATTCTGCTTCAAAAGTACGTGAAAACATTATATAAACTGCTGTTGCTTTTTATATATTGTTTAGAGGTAAATAATTTTGGGAAAAAGTAAGGAAAATATGCTGTTTTTGTCATGTTTTCAGCTGTGTGGTGCTGTGGTGGGGATAGAGTTGCATTTGGTCACAAAAAATCGGACCCGACCAGACCCCAGCCCATAGCCATCATCTCCAAACCCGACTCGACCCGATGAATTACCAGTAATTACAGATCTGAACCTGAAAAAACCCTGACATTTTTAATAAAGCTTTGACTGCTTATATAGTTAACGGTCGGCTGACACGCGCAGCTGAGTAAAAGAGGCAGAAGATCGGAGCTGAGGGGGTATTTGTTCTTTCATGGCTGTCAAAGAGCATTAAATCCCTGCTTCTGCTGCATTCTGCATTATTCAGACATGGACCCTGCTCTGACATGTCAGATATTTTGTGATCTCACCGGTTTGGATTGTTGGCCGCGCACGTTCGCTGAGTGCAGCGGCTAAATGAACGTCCATTTGTGCTGATGGATCTCTGCCTGGCAGTAGTTCGTCTGAAGCTTAACTGAACTTCTTTTACCTCTTTCACGGACGGTCAGTGCACAATCAAATGGCCACGTGAGGCTGGTTAATGTATGGCAAGCCATTTTGCCATATAATTGGATCGTCAGCCAAGCACGTCCCCCGGCACAATCAAAACCCGACACTGACCCGACCCACCCATCCAGTACATTATTATGGCTAGGGGTTGAATGACTACATAATTATTAAACTCGACATTAACATAATAAAACTCGAGTAGAACTCGAGTAGTTGATGACGTCATAGGATCTCAAGATGAAAAAAAATAAATAATTAAAACCGCAAAAAAAAGTCAGTTATTATTTACCCCCAAAAAAAGACCAACAAAACATTGGGATATTATGTATTTTATGCAAAACATTGGGATATTATGCTCCTACCATTCATCCCACTGCAAATAAGTCACAGGAAAACCAAAACTATTAGTTATTACTAAGCTGCAAAAGTGAAAGAAACGTGCGGCACGTCAAAACGAAACTAAAAACTGTGGGGTGGTCGACCACCCTGCGCCACCGCCAGCTGTGGTGCGCATTAGGTTTAGTTTTAGAGATTAATATGTTTATATGCTTTTTTTTTATAGGTTTAGAGATTAATATTTTTTGCTTTTTGTTTGTGAAACAAGGTCAGAGGGAGCTGGTTCTGGTTCGGTCGATTGGACCTGGTATTACACCATATTCTGTGACCTGCAACTGCATGCAACACCGCCCCCTACAGTCACAATATACGGTGGTCACAGAATGTGGTGCAACACCGGTTCGCAACGAGCTCCAAACAGTCAGGAAGTTGATTCATTTTCTGTTTCCTTATGGTAGTTGAACCGGAAGATTCATCTTTAGTGAAATATTTCCATACTATTGATGCATTTCTACCTGTTTGCCAAGACTGGACCTGCTCTGCTCAGTCCGTCTGCTGGGAGGAATCCATTTAGTAGCTTCTACTAGTAGCCCGGTGTGGATCATGTGACACAATGACGTCACTGCGAATACTCGACGTGAAATTTAAAAACTCGATAGATGTCCTAGGAATCAACCTGTCGATTACTTGAGCGGTCTGTTAAAGCCCTAATTATGGCCCGGCCCTAATTCGGGTCAGGCTGGGCCGGGCCCAGGGTTAGAAATGACAGCTCTAGGTGTGTGTGTGTGGGGGGTGCTGGGCTGTTTACGTGCTTATTGCTGTGTGCCTCCTTGCTGTTTGTTCATAATTTACAGTATTTTAGTCAAGCTCACAGTACATCTGGACATAGAAAATAATTCCTGTAGTTCTTCCTTTTCATTAGAGCCTCACTGTCGACTATGTTGAAACAATGAGGAGTTACAGATTTAGGATTTTGGGGTCCAACAGTACGGACATGTAGGACTCCATTTTGACACTTTGAAATATGCACGGACATATTCACATAAAAATATGTCCAGAATAATAATTTTCAGTGCTACTGTTATCAAACTCAAACTGGTAATAGGTAAGTCTCGATGCAGCAGCCTCAAACATTTTCAGCCCATCACTCCATATGCATACACATAAGTAAATATTTTTAACATTTCAGATGAGAAAAACAAGATTTTTGTGTGTTTCAACTTTAATAACTACATACTAATTACAGTTACAATATTTAAGACTCAAACTCAGAGTGTTACCTTTACAGAGAAACCAAGCATTTTAATTTACTCCAAAGGGTTCAAGAACAGTGTTTAATTAAATTTGGGTACATTTATTCAGGTGTTTTCTGTGTATTGTTTGACAACATCTAACAGCTTATTAAATCTGTTCTCTTAGTTTTATCTCTGAGTTCGTCGTGTTTGTCTGCGCCCAGGGTTCAACTCTCCTAACAGATCAGGATAGTTTCTAGCTGAAAGACATCCTCAGTAAGTATTCTGAGTATCTTGTGAGATATAGTAACTGTTTATCTGGTCCTTTTAGGTACCGTATTTTCTAGCGTATAAGTTGCTCCAGAGTGTAAGTCGCATCAGTCGCATCAGTCGCATCAGTCGCATCAGTCCAAAAAAGTACCAGTAAGAGGAAATAAACATATATAAGTCGCTTGGCGTATAAGTCAAATTTATTATGTCATCACTGACCCGTTG